TTTTTTTTGTTTTTTTTTTTTTTTAGTTTTAAAACATATATATATATATAACGAGGGAAACGAGGGAAACGAGGCACTTAAATCTGTACCGCGGGACTGGCGCAACCGCCAGACGATCTATTGCTACTGCCAAGTCTGCATTGGAACCTACATCAAAACTGGACGGACGCATTGTGTGCTGGGGGCGCCACGCGGGTGGAGCCCCGCGCCCTTGCCCGTGCTCCAGGGGTCCAGGAGCACAGCAATCTAGACCCGCAGTTGGGGATAGCAGTGAGGGGGGCGGCGGGGACGTCGGCCGTCTGCGAGGCTCTGGAGAAGCCCGCCGCAGGGGTTTTTTTTTTTCGAGCTACACAACGAGCACGCCGCAGGCGCCGATTCTTTGTTAAAGCAATGTAGGTGGGTCGCAGGTTGGGTCGCGCGGGTGGGTCGCGGGTGGATCGACGGTGGGTCGCGGGTGGGTCGCGGGGTGGGTCGCGGACCGGGTCGCGGAGTGGGTCGCGGGGTGGGTCGCGGGCTGGGTCGCGGAGTGGGTCGCGGGGTGGGTCGCGGGCCGGGTCGCGGAGGGGACGAGGACAACAAGCAACAACAGCAACAACAACATCGCAACAAGCAGAATCCTCACCACGGATCCCAACTTTAGCCACGCACCCAGGGACAATTATACGACTGCTACTACTACTACTACTACTACTACTACTACTACTACTACTACTACTACTACTACTACTCCTACTCCTACTCCTACTCCTACTCCTACTCCTACTCCTACTACTACTACTACTACTGCTACTACTACTGCTACTACTACTACTACTACTACTACGACGACGACTACTACTAATAATAATAATAAACATACGAATGTTACTAATAACAACACTAGTTATACTAATATTGCTATGTTCACATGCATACCTATACGAAAACACTTCGGGTGATAAGGAGGTGTGGGGAGGGGGAGAGAGGGAGGGAAACCAACATCTGACTCAATCGATCTCACTATCGATCTCACTCACGGGACACCACGGGACACTTGTCGATCTCACTCACGGGCCACCACGGGGCACCGCGGGACACCTCTCGATATCACTATCGTTGTTATTATCGATCGCACTATCGATCTCACGATCGATCTCACTCAACGGGACACCACGGGACACCACGGGACACCACATCGATCTCACTATTGATCCCACTATCAAACTCACTCAACGGGACACCACGGGACACCACGGGACACCTCGGGGCACCACATCGATCTCACTATCGATCTCACTATCGATCTCACGATCGATCTCATTCAAAGGGACACCACGGGACACCAGCGGGACACCGCGCGGCACCGGCCGCCAGAGGAGCAACATTTGGTCCGGCCGCGGCCCAGCCACAGGAGGATTTCGGGACACCAGCGGTACACCTGCGGGACACCGCGCGGCACCAGCCGCCAGAGGAGCAACATTTGGTCCGGCCGCGGCCCAGCCACAGGAGGATTTCCTCTCGCCCGCCCACACAGCTTCGCCTCGCCCGCACGCACGCACGGCACGCACGACACGAACCCGAAACCGAAATCGATTTCCCGGTTGGGGGGGGGTCTCCAATTCACGTCGGACTCACCCCCCCACCTCCGATATATATATATATATATATATATATATATATATATATATATATAGATATATAGATATATAGATATATGTACAATTTTATATACACAAATCCGGGGATTCCCCATCCGTTATTACCTAACAGCGAAGACTGATAGGTTTCTAATGGGGCCAAAAGAAACATCTGATGACTCCCCAGGGGGGTCTGGGCGAGAGCCGGACAGGCGAGGGCCGGGCTCGTTTGAAGCAAACAGTCATACACTTCGTGCTCTTCGACCTCCCAGAACTCCACTCCCGGGCCACATTTTGGATGCCCGGAGCCAACTATAGGCCACTTCGTGCTCTTCGACTTCCCAGAACTCCATTCCCGGGCCACATTTTGGATGCCCGGAGCCAACTGTAGGCCACTTCGTGCTCTTCGACTTCCCAGAACTCCATTCCCGGGCCACATTTTGGATGCCCGGAGCCAACTGTAGGCCACTTCGTGCTCTTCGAGTTCCCAGAACTCCATTCCCGGGCCACATTTTGAATGCCCGGAGCCAAGTGTAAGCCACTTCGTGTTCTTCGTGGTCCCAGAACACCGCTCCCAGGCCACATGTTGGATGCCCGGAGCCAACTGTAGGCCACTTCGTGTTCTTCGTGTTCCCAAAAGAATATTCCTGTACCATATTTTGATTGGCCGGAGCCAGCTGTGGGCCATTTCGTGATTTTCGTGTTCCCAGAACACAAGTCCTGTGCCATATTTTGAATGCCCGAGCTGAGGCAGGCTGAGGCCGAGGCAGGCTAAGGCTGAGGCTGAGGCACGCCGAGGCAGGCTGAAGTCGAGGCTGAGGCAGGCTGAGGCTGAGGCAGGCTGAGGCTGAGGCTGACGCAGGCTGAGGCCGAAGCAGGCTGAGGCTGAGGCTGAGGCAGGCTGAGGCTGAGGCAGCCTGAGGCTGAGGCCGAGGCAGGCTGAGGCTGAGGCTGAGGCTGATGCAGGCTGAGGCTGAGAGGCTGACGCTGAGGCTGAGGCAAGCCGAGGCAGGCTGAGGCTGAGGCTGAAGCTGAGGCATGCTGAGGCTGAGGCTGAGGCTGTGGCTGAGGCTGAGGCAAGCTGCGGCTGAGGCAGGCTGAGGCTGAGACTGATGCAGGCTGAGGCTGAGGCAGGCTGAGGCTGAGGCTGAGGCAGGCTGAGGCTGAGGCTGAGGCAGGCTGAGGCTGAGGCCGAGGCAGGCTGAGGCTGAGGCCGAGGCAGGCTGAGGCTGAGGCTGAGGCTGAGGCTGATGCTGAGGCAGGCTGAGGCTGAGGCTGAGGCTGAGGCTGAGGTGCAGGCTGAGGCAGGCTGGCTGAGGCTGAGGCAGGCTGAGGCTGAGGCCGAGGCAGGCTCAGGCCGAGACAGGCTGAGGCTGAGACTGAGGCTGAGGCTGAGGATGAGGCCGAGGCAGGCCGAAGCTGTGACAAGGTGAGACTGAATGGGGGGAAGGGGGGGGGAGGAGGGGAAGCTGAGGCAGGCTGAGGCCGAGGCAGGCTGAGACTGAGGCTGAGGCTGAGGCTGAGGCTGAGGCTGAGGCTGAGGCTGAGGCAGGCTGAGGCTGAGGCAGGCTGAGGCTGAGGCTGACGCAGGCTGAGGCCGAGGCAGGCTGAGGCTGATGCTGAGGCAGGCTGAGGCTGAGGCCGAGGCAGGCGGAGGCGGAGGCCGAGGCAGGCTGAGGCTGAGGCTGAGGCAAGCCGAGGCAGGCTGAGGCTGAGGCTGAAACTGAGGCAGGCTGAGGCATCCGTAGGAATCCATAGGAATCCCTCGGAATCCTTCGGAATCCGTAGGCATCCTTAGGAATCCGTAGGCATAGTTCAGCATCCTCAGGAATCCTTAGGAATCCTTAGGATTCCATTGGATCCTAAGGCCGTTGCCATTGCGACTGTCATTGCGAATGCGACTGCGACTGCGAGAACAGCAGAATTCTACAACTGGATTCTCACCTGAATCTTAAGGGGAATGCTTCCAGATATGCTTATACACATCGCTGTTAGGTTGCTTTGCCGGGATAATCCTATTTTCTTGATTTTCATCTTCCCCCCCAAAACTCCCACAGTTTCCCCTATTTGCCTGGGAACCGACGATTCTACGCCTGGGACTGGTCCCGCCCCTAAGACGAAGCCAGGAATGGATAACATCGGGCGGAGATGAAATCAAGAATCTCTGAGATCCGGCGGCTCTGGAGAATGCCCCGGGCGCCGCAGCCTTCTCTGAGCCTTCTGGGACGCTCCGAGAGCGTTCCGGAACGCTCTGGAACGGATTCATCCTCGTCATGGCCCCGTCCGAGCGATAACGCCCAGGGCTGGCCCCGCCCCCCCACCATGGTCACGTCTCGATTCGCGCGGGCGCCGTCTGGGCAGCAGCCATCCCCCATCCCTGCCCCAGACGACGCCGGCGCGCATCGCGACGTGACCGGCCCCCGGCAATTCTCCCCCCCCGCCCCAGTCACGCCCATCTGTCGCCAGGCAGGGGAAAGAGAGACAGACTTGTATTAGGCTTTTGGGGATGATTAAAACACCAAACTGACCAGAATAACATTTGGTACTTGATCCAGTCCAGGTTAGTTTGGTGTTTAAATCATTCAAACAGGCATGGCCAGGCCATGCCTGTTTGAAGGGAGGAGGAGGAGGGAGCAGGGAGGAGGGAGGAGGGAGGAGGGAGGAGGGGGAGGAGGAGGAGGAGGAGGAGGAGGAGGAAGAGGAGCAGGAAGAGGAGCAGGAAGAGGAGGAGGGAGGAGGAGGAAGGAGGAGGAGGGAGGAGGGAGGAGGAGGAGGGAGGAGGCAGGAGGCAGGAGGGAGAAGGGAGGAAAAGGAGGAGGTGCATGCGCGCGCCTGGCTCGGCGGCGGAGGCACCCGCACGGATCCTGGGGCCCCTGGCCGGGAGCGGTGCGGGTGCCTGTTCCCAGAGATGCGATGTCGTGACTTTGTCCCACGCGCGCCCCCCGGAAGTCTCCACACATTCCTCGGGGGCGGCCAAGAGGGGGGTGTCCAAGAGGGGGGGGTGCAAATCATGACCGGCGGCATGTGCGCGGCCCTGGGGGGGGCCAGGGACGTAATGAAATG